TAAGTATGATATAGCCAGATGTCTGGACTTTAAATTGATGGATTTTAGTGTCTTTATAGTTCCAATATCATTTGCATTTTGAACAAAATAAATGGATTTTATGTCACGAATTTTAATTGTTTGTCGTTGCAATGAAACAAACTTTATTTAATGGCGTTTTATTTTATTTTATTTTTTTATAAAGTTTTGTTAAGATATATTTATGATGAAAATTTAAGGCAAATTAATTTATAATATTGATGATACACACTAAACGGCATTTAAATTTTCAATTTACATCACATGTTGGTCGTGACATTATTAATTAAATATAGTCATAAATGGTCATGTATTGTCTCATTCAATTTGGTTCATTTGCTTCAACTAAAACTATTATATTGATAACAAGTGTATATAAACGTACGTTATCGATACATTTATATTTAAATGGAAAAGTTTTCAGTTGTTACAATCCTGATGTCATGTTCTATGCGTACAAAGCCAATAATAAATAGCACGTTTTTGTTTAAAAGAACATACGTTTGAAGAATTTGAAACTCAGATGAAATTATAATTAGATTCTTAATGTTTTTAATTGGCAACCTTACGAATCTATTGGTTGCTGTAAGGGTCGCAGGTCAACTCAGTGATTTTGTGACAACAAAGGTCAGAGATTGTGTCAACATTATATCATATATTCTCTTGCAAATACTACAGAAATAAATCTTTCAAAGTTTATCCAATCCCCACATAGTAAATAGCTGAATCTGTATAAATTTAACTATACAAATCAAAGCACAAAACGGTTATTGTACAGGTGTAGCTTATTGCAGATATCGGTTTCTGGATAGTAGTCGGTAAGATTTAGCCAAATTCATGCTGTAAAGGCTTTTTTGTTGATAGTATAACTTTTATATAGTTTAAAATGTATGAAGTATGCACTTTGTACACTATTAAACATAACTTTAGTAGTGCATCCATTTTAGCGAATGTACGTTAAATAAACAATTTATATTTAATGAATGAAATTATATATTTTTTCAATAAATTTGTGTACAGAAAGTATGAATGCAATATAACGTTTGCAATTCCTTTCATTTAAAGGGTTAAAGTAAACAAGAAAATGATATTTCAATACAGTATAGACTTCTCGAAACTGTGGGAATTGATTTAATTGGTAAACACCATGGTAAAAAACATATACAACATAAGATTTCTTTATTTTCCCTTTGAATTAAACATATTTATTTGCGCTCGATTTTCAAAAAAAGTTCTTTCTGCCCGTTTCCATGGATACTACATACATGTTACATGGTTCGGTAGGACATTCTTTTTATATTTAAATAATGAATTAGAAAATAATATCGTGGGCTGTCGACCTTTGGACGTAGATAACGTCCACACCGATTAAAGAGAAACCGACCACTAATTTAGGACAAGCGGTTATTTTACTCTAGTAATTCTTTAAATGATATATTATTCTATGAGAATGACGAGAGGCGATTTGTATCATTCTCATAAAGTAACACGGATGTATCACTGATAACACGAACTATGGACTCAGAGAGATATTATAAGTTATAATGATAACGATTAAGATTACCATATGAGAGAACCATTTTCATTATATAGCATAGACATCTGATGGTCGTGTGAGCCACTTTAAGTTATGATATAGCTCAGATGATCTTTACTTCATAAAGGTGAGATGAGTATTATATGTAGAGATTGTCTATTAGTTGTCCAATTGATATTTGTCATATATCCATGAATCAATTATAAATCGCGAATATTTATGATATAGCGACGAAGATTTTAATTGTCTTGTACGTTGCAATGAAACAAACTTTATTTAATGATGCGTTCTTTCTATTTTATTGTTTATTTATTTAATAAAGTTTGTTAAGTATATTTATATTTACTAGATGAAATTTATAAGTGCAAATTTCACTTTATAGACTATTGATGATCATCAACTAAATACGGCATTTTAACAATTTTCTAATTTACATGACATGTTGGTCGTGATCAGTTTTAATTAACATATAGTCGATAATATGGATATCCGTTATTGTCTCATTCAATTTTGGATCCATTTGTCTTCAATTCTACAAACTATTCATAACCTTGATATATAAGTGTATACCTAAACGCTATTCGTGTTATCGATACACACATTTAATATATTTAATGGAACAAGCTCTTCCTGTCCAGTTGTTACCCCAATCCTGATCTCATGTCTCATGTCTTCTAGTCGTAACCACCAATATATGAGATATGAGCGTTAGTTTTGTGTTGATAAAGAGCAGATAACGTTTTGAGAATTTGAAAACTCAGATGAATTTATAATTAGTATGCATTAATGTTTTTCTAATTGGCAACCGTTTACGACCAATAATGCTATTTGGGTGTCGTGCCCCATATCTGCTCCCCTTTCTTTCTCCTCTCCGTTGTTCCCTTTCGCAGGTTCTATCTTGCTTTCGCCTTGGCCTCCTTGTCCGACACCTTCTTTCTTCCTTGGTCTGGTCCGTAACGTTACATTTCCTTGTTCTCTTGTTTTGTTTGGGACTGCTGCTGTAGCTGGCGCCAGGGTCGCGAGGTCCAACCCTTTAATGTGATTGCCTTGTGACAACATTAAATTGTTGTCATGCATCTTCGACGCCACTCCTGTGTGCAGGAGCGTCTTGCATTACTTTATATCATCCATCTATTGGCGTGTTGTTCATTTTCATTTTTGGGCCTTTCCTTTTCTCTACATAATCTATTTCGTTTCACAATCGTCTTTCTCCCACACTCGCAAAACTTACTTACCAGACACACTACCAAATCTCTCGTTTTCAGGATGTTTTATCCCTATGCACCCACATAGAAAGGGTCCAGCTGATATGTTAGTATATTTAGGACACCTACTACACAAATCATACTATGGCACAGAACCGGTTATCTGTAGAGGCTGTGACCGGCTTTATTTGCAGAATGATCGGCTTTTCTGGATAGTAGTCGCGTTGTAAGATAATTAGTCAACAACACTTTCATTATAGCTGTAAATGGCTAGCTTTTGTGTTAGATCATCGTTACACTCGGACTTACTTATATACGTTCTCAAGGAATGTCCTGGAAGTATCTGTATTACTTCACTGGTTGGTATTGCTAATTCCAACTTACTCAAAGCAACTTGTTCTTATTGAATACATGTTAACTTATAGGTTTTATGTGGCATCAACTTCAAACTATTAGTTGTGCACTTATAATTCTTACACACATGGTTTTTAGCCCAATTGGTTGCCCATGTACGTGTTTTGGAAGTGATTTAAGAGTCCACGGAGACCTCCACTCAGAACGGGACGGTGCTAGTAAGTTTTATAACGGGGGTTTTAGTATGTCATCTACAACAATTTCTCACTATTTAGCACTTTCGGAATTTTGTAGAAACTCTGTATAGAAATAGGTTGTTTTTCTTGACTTCATTTTTTTCTTTCATTGCATGATAACAGTTTACTGGTTGGTTTCGAAACGGACGTCGAGAAGTGATTACTAAGTAAATAGTTTGCAAGAACTTTTTTTTTGTAATCGAGATTGCAATATAATAGGTGTTATTTAACAGAAAAGTATATTTCGAAAAGGAGAATGGCAAATTAATAGACATCTTATGTTGGTATTATGTCTGCATTTGTTTACCCACATCACTGCTGTTTACTATACATCCAATTTAATAAATAGTGGAGAGTTATAAATTTGTAAACAACAAAATGTACTACTCACAGTTTTCAGAAAACGTCACTTGTATAACTGTATTGAGCTAAATCATTCAATCGAGATAACTTTGTGGCATATTGTCATTCCTCTCATTGGTAAATTTACTTTACAACGGCACAGGTTATAAATAAACATAGTAATAGCAAAACTTGAGTAACGGATGTAATTATACTTATGTCCTTATCTTCTATTTTACCTTCTTTGTAACATCTCAAAATTATTATGAATATATAATTATACTGATCTTTCGTACTTTTAAATAATAAAAGTATTCTTGCAACTCTATGTTTAACTGATGTAATATTCGAGTTCGTTTCTCTGGAAAACCATTACGCGATGCATACTCTACTGTATCAAGTATTGTGTAGTTTGGAATGCAATATAAGATTGTGAGCATAAGTGCATAATATCGACTGTTTGACTGGTCCGTTATCGTAGAATAATAAGCGCAAGATTATTTATAGATACAGGCTCATATACTATCAACTTAATAATTCACATCATCTCTTAATCTATTGTCATGCCGATATAACTATTTGGCGTCGTAGTAAAACACGCTTAATTATATAATATATGACTTGTCAGCACATTAGTCGTGCTGATATCATACAGAGAATCAATACACCGGCGAAAATGCAAACTCAGTTGACACATACCGTTGTCATACTCCTATGACTAGGCCAAAAGTAAGACATTTCAATTCACCCGTGGAATCACAATAAACGCATGTGTGTTTTACGATATGGAACAACTACTGAGTAATTGGTAAATAGTTAAATTTATACAGATTCAGCTATTACTATGTGGGGATTGATAAACTTGAAAGATTTATTTCTGTAGTATTTGCAAGAGAATATATGATATAATGTTGACATACAATCTCCCTGAACCTTTGTTTGTCACAAAATCACTGAGTTGACCTGCGACCCTTACAGCAACCAATAGATTCGTAAGGTTGCCAACAACTTAAAAAATTAAGAATCTAATTATAATTTATCTGAGTTTCAAATTCTTCAAACGATTTTTTTTAAACAAAAACGATTCGATGTTTTAAAGATATTTTACACTGACAACGTCTGCTTTGACAAAAAATTGATGAGACAATAGACTTATATATTTAACTGGATTATTAAATCGGGTTAGGTGAGTATTTATTTTTTCTAGTATTTTTGCTTAAATATGTATTTTTATCGGAAAATAATTATAGATCTACCCGGAAGTAGAAACAATTGCAGTTCCTGGACAACGGTTTGTTGATAGCAACATGGAAAATGGCAGCCAAGTAATTATTTAATCAAAGCAATTTAAACCAAATTTATGTAATTAATCTCTTAGATAAAACAATCATCAAAGTGAGGAAATTCAAGATTTTCAAGAATTTTAATCTTTACTTTCTTCCATGCATACTGTCTACATGTATGAGAATAAAAATTTGAGCTGTTGAAAACTTGTATCCTAAAAGTGAAAATATATCTCTTGGACCATTGTTTGAGCTGTTTAAATTTTTCAGATCTTTAAAATTAAAAATATGGAGATGTTGCAGTTTCATTCAATACATGGAGGGTATTGAATGAGTGCATAGACATATATTTTTTCATTGACACAACTAGACTATAGTGTAACGCTTGCACTTAGCATGTATTTAGATCTACCTATGTTTCTGTAAGGCATATGATATCACATCAAAATATCAAAATGTTTGTTCACACTAAGAACCACATCAATGAATACCTAAGCCGGAACTTGTTTGAAATGATTTAACTAATATTTTAATTTAAAAAAAGTCACAGCCCTATTACAAGCTTTCTAGAAAGTATACTTCTTAAAGGAATCATATCTGCAGGTGCCTTATTAGCAAAACATGAGGACCTCAGGAAAATCTGACTGTTCTATCAATTGTAAAAACTGTATATCAATAAAACATAATTTATAAATTTAACTACTGTACATTTCAGGCACTTCACCATGCACTCTTGATGTAAAGTACTCCAACCTTTGGGATTATGCCCAACAAGTGCACTTTTCCCATCATTCTCAACCTGTTGGTCCAATATGTTTTAGGACACCAAGAATGTTCCATGTTTTTGGTGTTTGTGTAGAGGGATCAGGTTAGTTTGCCCATAACATTTTTTGACATATTTATTCATGTGCATATTGTAAAAACATGTTTAAAAATATAATCAAGGTAGATTTCTATAAAAAAAATTTTGTCAGATGTGTTCCTTTGCCATGAATTTTATTATTATTCTCCTATGCCATAGTATTTTCAGTTGCAAAAGAATATTCAGTTTAATATAATCTTAAATTTAAGTATTATTTTACTTAAGTACTATTTATATCCTATGCAAACTTTTTAAATTTCCAATTTATATGTATTTTTAGGACTTCATGGAAGTGTCAGTCTCAACATGCTTGGTACTTTTATATCTGGAAAGTGAAAAAACAATGCACCAGGTTGCCTAAGTGTACTGTCCTGAAGTCATCAAGATATGGGCACAATATCCTACAGCTTATAGATGATCCAGAAAATCCATAGGAAGTCATTTCTTAAGTTAAGCCCTCAAACTGTTATCCAAATACCACCATTTTTGTGCAAGTGCAATGGAGCCAAGTGTTATAGCATGTAAAGAATATATTAACTCTGTGGAGGTAAAAATGTATTTACTGAAACAATTGCCTCCCAGAGGTCTTTTACCTGAAGTACAGTAATGATGCAGCAAGACATTAGTATCTATTTGAACAAATTGGGCAGTTCTTCAAATCTGACATAGCTAAAATACTGTGTGGTCCCGAAAACAGAAATAAAGTTGGAAATTGACAATTATGTGAAAACGGTTGAAAGAGAAAGAGCAGTCTTTTATTCTTGAGTATAATTGGAGTTCCTATAACATAGTGGTCATGTATGGACTGTCATTATTTTCTTCATTTCAAATATAGCTTATGATACAAGTAGATGCTTCATAAGATAAGACTGCAAGTGTGTTGCATAACTGGTGCTCTAAGGACTAATGCTATATTAACAAGTGTGTGGATCATTGATGCATATATATTATTTAATGGCTGCCTATATTATTTTTGGATGTCAGTTTACCAGTTACCAATTTCCATCATTTTTACAAAATGTTTATTAGATCATTAAGTTTAGTGTAATACAACATTTGTCATTTTACTCTAAGTTATAGAATTCTATTGAACCTATGCATGTTATGAATTGATCAACTGTCAACTGATCTTAAGCTTTGATCTAGATTGAAAATGACTGAAAATGTAAAGAAACATTAAGCTTCAGTACTTGTTGTCAAATTTTAAACATTTTATAGTTGTAGAATATGAAAAATACTTTATAACAATGACAGGTCAGTTGAATTATTATGTTGATATTAGTGTAGAATCACATTGTAAATTATCACCAATCCTTAAAATTGTTAAAAGAAGCAGCAAAATCAAAGAATATGCAATGGTAGCTAGGCAACCAATATTCCCTTCAGTTGGGAAGGATTTTAAACAGGTGCATCATAATAAAAATACTTTATATGTTTGATCACATTGTAAATAATTGAAAAATAATCATCACTAAGTTATAAAATATTAAAATATAGAACCTTAAATGTACCTGAAAATAAATGTTGTGAACATGATATTAGAAGTATCATTTTTAATTTATATTACTAAGGAATGGTGAGGCAGGCTGTTCTCTGAATACCTTATTAAGTTCAGTTACACATTATTTGTGGTATTGTTTTCATTTTTTTATAATAGCACAAATTGCTATTTTTAACTAAGTTGTAATCTCCTGTATGCCTGTAAAAATTGGAAATTTAGAAATTTATCAAAAAAAATAAAAAATTATTCATTGGTTGCTAAGCAACCTAATTATATGCAGATACAGTTTTAAGTAAGGAACATTTTTTGTAGGAATTATTTTTATGTCATTTTAATTAAATAGAATGCTAGTTAATTCAAAGTCCTTACTTTGTTGTGAAACAGTGTAGTTAACACTAGATGTTACTTAACATATTTTTATGAAATTATATATATTATCTATATAAATTCAAAACCTATAGTAAAGTGAGTTTAAGGATACTTTGATCCAAGAACTATTATTAAGATTGTATTTGCAGTTTTAATAGTTGTAATTTGTTTTTTTTTTGTAATCATGCTGCTTTGTTCATGGTATTTTGAGATATTTTTTAATCAAACTTAAAATTTGTAAAATTTAGAAGGAAATTATGGAAGATATTGTGGTTGCTTGGCAACACTGACTAATTTTTACTTATTGCTTTGGTATAATGTAAATCAGTTAAACAGCAGATAGAGATATTTATGTAATATGGAAAGTAACAGTGATTTGATCAAATGCTTATTGGTTATTGTAAAACATACAGAGCAATATACATGGCAAAAATACTGTGTTCTGCTAAAATTTGCATGACTTACTAACACTATTCAAGTGTACAGAACATGGATTGTATGTTATATCTTCAATGGAAAATTATTGAAAAGTAATTAATAGGCATTGTTTATAATTTTATTGAAAACTTATTTATTTCTGCTGCTTTGTTAGCTGTATTTTACCATGAAATTTGTATTTACAAAATAAATTACACAAATTTAGGATATTCCATGGTTGCTAGGTAACAGAATATAGCTTCCTTCATGTTGTATTTGTGTAATTATGCCCTTTATTTAGTGTTACTACCTTTGATGATGTTATACTTGAGTCATCTTTCATTTACTGTTGTATTAAACTGTTGTCTGCTGTCAGAGTAAATATCTGAATAAAGTTAATAAATGAATGATAAATGGACACTGTGTTTAGTTCTTTTGAAGTTGTATTATGATATCTCTCAACAGTAATATGTCCTGTTAACAATGTAGAAATGCAAAAGAACCATTTGCAAATGTAAAAGAAGAATTTATTTCGTATTGATACTTGCAAGTGTTATAAAATAAACATAGCACAACTTTTTACTCGAAAAAGGCCATGAAGAACCCAGAAATAGGTCCGTTGCTAGGCAACATAATGTAAATGATGCTTTAATTATGGTGGCTGTATTCCAAAAATATTCTACAACATTTATTAACTTCAATAACATAAAACAATTTTTTCCAAAAATTCATTTTAGCTTCAAAAGTTGTTTTCCTCATGCACCTTTAAACATCACAAAGATCAAAGATTTTTATGTGTATTTTTTATTACTTACTGGACACCATACTCACAAAATTATGTATATCTTTGTAAATAAGAAAGACACGACCTTCAAATTTTCAGGAATTACTTCTGATATTTCATAGATTTAGAAAATTAAAAAAAGTGAAAATCAAAAATTTGGTCAAGAAACCCCATTTTTGCATTCCATGACACATATGAAGAAATATGATCGTGACCCGATTCACGTTTCAACGAAAGTTCCCTGGGTTGAGAGACATACACCTTAACTACTAGGCCACCGCTCCTCTAGTGACGTTTTCTCTTTGTGACGTTATCTACTTCAAAGGTCAAGCGATGTTATCATTATTATAAAGTCACGACTTATATGATAAAACTTGGACACATATATAATTTTGATAGATTAATACATTAAGCATCCATTTATATATAATACGCCCGTGTTCTTAAGCTTTAAGTATGATATAGCCAGATGTCTGGACTTTAAATTGATGGATTTTAGTGTCTTTATAGTTCCAATATCATTTGCATTTTGAACAAAATAAATGGATTTTATGTCACGAATTTTAATTGTTTGTCGTTGCAATGAAACAAACTTTATTTAATGGCGTTTTATTTTATTTTATTTTTTTATAAAGTTTTGTTAAGATATATTTATGATGAAAATTTAAGGCAAATTAATTTATAATATTGATGATACACACTAAAACGGCATTTAAATAGTCAATTTACATCACATGTTCGTGACATTGTTAATGAAATATAATCATAAAGCATCACATTTTGTCTCATTGGTTTACGAGTATTTCCTTCAACTAGAACTATTTTGATAACAGGTGTATTTAAACGTACGTTATCGATACAGTCATATTTAAATGGAAAAGTTTTCAGTTGTGACAATCCTGATGTCATATTCTATGCGTACAAAGCCAAAAATAAAAAGCACGTTGTTGTTTAAAAGAACATAAGTTTCAAGAATTTGAACCTCAGATTTGAACCTGCTAATTTCGAACCCAGCTTTACAGGTGTTACGTTAGCGGAAATATGATTTTAATATGATGATAATAGAACTGAAATATGCAATGTCAAACAGAGGATCCTTAGGAAATTTTGACTTGTATATAATATCCACTTTATGTTATGAGATAAGTGATATAATGTATATGTTACTATTAAATTTATCCACTTACTATATATAACGTTTTGTTCGAGTTATTTCAGCTTAAAAGTGGTAAAGAATATACATTATTTTCGTTGCTGATATGTTGTTGAAGGTGTGGGACTTCCAATGATAATGCCAGACGAAACCAGTGTTTTATAATTATTATGATAAACGTTGTTTAAAGGTAGATAAACATATGAGTTTTCAGTGTTTTATTAAATAAAATATTATGAAGATTTGAATGCATATACAGAAATGCAATAAACTGCTGCCTCTGGTAGGATTGCAAAATAATGTACAGTAAATTTGATATCTTACAGACAACCCTTTGGACAACAATTATTTTTTTCACTTAACAATTGCCTAAAAGGAAGTTTATTTCCAGTGGCAAATAGAAACATCATTGCATATAAGCACGAAGATTGTTCGAATAATAAAGTCTCAATTCAATTGTAAATGTCTGGAACATAATGTGAATCGTGCCAAAAATGAGTTATTTTACGAAACCTTATTTCGGGATTTATTGTTGAAGGGAAAATAAATCACAGTAAAAATACGAGAGAGACATGTTTCAAAGTTTATTTCATTGAACAAAATTATACATTCAGCATAACAGCCTGTGTTGCATACATATAACAAAAAAACTTTATGATATGTAATCATACTTTAAGCGCAATATATCTGACAAACAATTAATTACTGTGAAGAAAGTTTTTAAAACGTTTTGTACTCTTAATAATTGTGACATTTTTTAAACTATTCAATATATAAGATTAAAAAATATGTACATGTAAACCTATTACATGAATGATAATTACATAGTTCATCATTTCGTGAAAAATATTTCCATGATTCATATTTAAATTGAGCAAATTCTAGTCAATTTCTATCGACATTTTTATGGTAAAAATACAAAAAAACAATTGTTTGGTCAAGTGCACGAAGTTAAAGTACCTATCGCTTTAATAATTCTATGCAATTAATAATTTAAAACAGTTTACTATAAAACTATAAAAGAAAACGAAAAGTCACATAATACGAACAAATACATAACCTCCTGTTGAATGTGTCAGTACACTAAATTGGGTCTGATGGAAATCCTGAAATGTAACTGGAGAACGGATATTATGTGAAAATCGATTGGAAATAACGCAGACGTTCCCAGAAACTCCAAAAGTACCTTTTGATAACCTTTGCATTTAGCGCAACCCGAACCTAAAAGATTATGTCAATACATAAATTTGAACATAAATAAAATACTGTTACAGTATACAGATCAAAAGAACAATATTTTAAGGAACCTTTACTTCTCTAAAATTTGCTTACCTGGTAAACAATAAGAAACATTCCAAAAACATTTTTCTTTGTAGTCAATTTACATTTATTAAATGTGTGTTGTGCCGTAAAATAACAGTCAAGAAAAGTGTGTGTGTCCTATTAGTTTCTCTAGTTATAGGGACGTCCGTTACCTGGTGATTACGATCGTAGACTTTAAACTACATAACTTTCGCGGTTGTACATTTGAGCCGCGCAAGCGTCTCCGGATTCTTTCATGTGAGAAAGCAATCTAGGTAGCTATCTAGCATACTCAGATGTCCGTTTGTGCCTGAAATAAGATAAAAAAAGGGACACATTAGGTCTTCCGTTACAGGCAAAGCTGTCGCGAAATGACCTATATGTTCGTGCAACGTTAAATGCAACACAAAATTATTTCAAGCCATTCAAATAATTGAAATAAATCAGGATACACTTACTTTAAATGTTTGCTTATCTAATGTTTCAAACAGAAGCATATATGGCAGCTAAAGTATAATGCGTATAACGCCCAAAAACATTCTCAAGAGAACTGGTTGTTTATATTATCACAGATATGATATTGCATGAAATTAATAATATCTTGTGTCTCCTAAGGTCATATTTTGACATATTTATCAAACGTTTGTTAATATCTGTATGATTTAATATGCTTTTTGGTCAATATGTTTCACACAAAAAAAGTCAGAAAGCGAATTGAGAATTATACGGATACAGAATTAAAAAACATTGTTTCTAAGATCAGATATTAAATGTTTGACATATTTATCAAAATTAATTTTAATAACTTTTGAATAAGAAATCTTATTTATACAGTTTAAAGACACATATATTTCTCCAGGCAAATTTAGCCTTATATTATACGTAACTATGAATATCAGATTCAATTAGCATTTGATACAGTAATTACTTATTTAATTTGTATGTTCATATTCCTTCCTAAATATTGTCCATAGTTTTCCTTAAACATAATGTAAATTTTACAAAACGAGTTTTAAAACAGAAGTGCGTTATTTCATTGATTCATAATGACATTTTCTTCCTCTGTCACATACAATGTACATCATATTAGTTCTATAAACATTAATTGAATAAGACCAAACATGCCATACACAGAACATTTCACATACGTATAATCTATTTTATATTTTAATAAATGTACTCTAATAGTTTGTCAACTGTTAGTTTGTCAATCGGTATCTATCTACAATACTTAACAACATAAAATAACTTTTAATCACACATTTATTTCTCGACATAATATCAGGAGCACATAAATGTACATTTATAGAGAAACAATCTTTCTTATTTCAGCAATTTTGAGGAGAAATATGTTCACAGAATAAAGTCCAAAAGTGACAACATTATAATTGACCAAATAATTGACCATTATAATTGATCTAAATCAATTTCAATAGCATACTGTCATTGGTATGATGATACATGTCTATGACAGGCAAATAAAAAAATATCTTGCAGAGTTGCAGTTAATTGTTAGATAAAAGACCGATTTGTTTGGCCATGATAGATGTGTAATTACGTGTTGATATGTGTAGTGGAATGCAAAAATGGGGCTTCTTGACGTCGACGTCGTTATCGAGAAAATGCGAGATCTTTGACGCCATTTTTTCCTCATTATTTTTCCATTAATCTGGCAGTAAAACAGCGCTTAATTATATAATAAATGACTTGTCAGCACATTGGATCCTGATTCATACAGAGTAATCAACGGCAAAAATAATTTGCTACCGTTCATCCTATGACAGCAAGTGAAATTATCACGGGAAAAGATTTTTACGAGGACAACTGATTACGTCATCTGACATTGATTGTTGATAAAATATTGGTGAATTGATTCGATGTTTTTCGGTGTTTTAAAGAATATTTTACACTGACAACGTCTGCTTTGACAAAACTTATATATAACTGGATTATTCGGGTTAGGTGAGTATTTATTTTTTCTAGTATTTTTGCTTAAATATGTATTTTATCGGAAAATAATTATACCCCGGAAGTAGAAACAATTGCAGTTCCTGGACAACGGTTTGTTGATAGCAACATGGAAAAGGCAGCCAAGTAATTTATTTACTCAAAGCAATTAAAACCAAAATTTATGTAATTAATCTTCTTAGATAAAACAATCATCAAAGTGAAAAAAATCAAGATTTTCAAGAATTTTAATCTTTACTTTCTTCCATGCATACTGTACAGTACATGTATGAATATAAAAATTTGAGCTGTTGAAAACTTGTATCCCAAAAGTGAAAATATATCTCTGGCTCCATTGTTTGAGCTGTGTAAATTTTTCAGATCTTTAAAATTAAAAATATGGAGATGTTGCAGTTTCCATAATTTCTCATAACCAGACTCAATAAATGAAGGGTATTGAATGAGCGCATAGACATATATTTTTTCATTGACACAACTAGATTTTAAGTGTAACGCTTACAGTACACTTAGGCATGTATTTAACACTATGTTTCTGTAAGGGCATATGATGTCACATCAAAAGTGTTTGTTCACACTTAGAAGCACATCAATGAATACCTAAGCCTGAACTTGTTTGAAATGATTTAACTAATTTTAATTAAAAAAAGTCACAGCCCTATGACAAGCTTTCTAGAAAGGATACTTATTAAAGGAATCATATCTGCAGGTGCCTTATTAGCAAAACATGAGGACCTCAGGAAAATCTGACTGTTCTATAAATTGTAACTAGAAATGTGTCATCATGCCACGGATGCCCCCGCATGCAGCCAAAATTTCAGATGGTGCATTAATTATTTTTTTCATTTTAAGTTCAAAGCCCTTAAAACTTTAAAATGTTAACACAAACCATTTTCATACAATGTTCAAGACACTGAAATTATTCAGTCTTAACCTTTTAAAAATAACATATTTCATATTTGTAGCCAAAATAATGGCTAAAAGTATGAGTGCTGAAACTGAAAGTACAAAATTTTTCCAACATTCAGGAAAGATAAGTTTGTCTAAAATCATTGAACCACAACCAAATTCATACTTAAACTGCTTATTCCTAAGATGTATCTATATTTTTCAAAGTGAAAGGGACATAACTCTGCAAAAAAAAATCATCAAACCCTGACCAAATTTCAACTTGACCTGCCCATTCCTTTGACATATCCATATGTCAAATTTAAGTTGAATATGTAACACTGTTGGTAGATAATGAACAGAAACTGTAAATTTCATATTATTTTCAAAGTGGAAGGGGCATAACTCTGCCAAAAATCATTGAACCATGACCAAATTCCAACTTGGCCCTGGGCATTCCAAAAACATATCCATATGTCAAATTTGAGTTGAATGTGTTGTACTGTTGGGGAGATAATAAACGGAAACTGAAAATTTCATATAACTTTCAAAGTGAAAGGGCATAAACTCTGCCAAAAATCATTGAACCATGACCAAATTTGAACATGACCTGTATTTTGTCATGACATATCCATATGTCAAGTTTGAGTTGAATGTGTTGTACCGTTGGGGAGATAATGAACGGAAACTGAAAATTCACATTATTTTCAAAGTAAAAGGGGCATAACTCTGGCCAAAAAATCATCGAACCATGACCAAATTCGAACTTGGCCTGTATTTTCTAATGACAAATCCATATGTCAAGTTTGAGTTGAATGTGTTTGTACTGTTGGGGAGATAATGAACGGAAACTGAAAATTTCATATATATTTCAAAGTAAAAGGGGCATAACTCTGCCAAAAAATCATCGAACATGACAAATTCGAACTTGACCTGTATTTTTCATGGCATATCCATATGTCAAGTTTGAGTTGAATGTGTTGTACCGTTGGGGAGATAATGAACGGAAACTGAAATTTCATATTATTTTCAAAGTAAAAGGGCATAACTCTGTCAAAAATCATCGAACCATGACCAAATTCGAAAACTTGACCTGTATTTTGTCATGACATATTCATATGTCAAATTTGAGTTGAATGTGTGCAACCGTTCTTAAGATAATGAACGGAAACTGATGATGACGGAATGACAGAATGACGAAAGGACGGAATGACGGAACAGGGTAACACTATATGCCCCGGCCATTACATGGCGGGGGCATAAAAACTGTATATCAATAAAACATAATTTATAAATTTAACTACTGTACATTTCAGGCACTTCACCATGCACTCTTGATGTAAAGTACTCCAACCTTTGGGATTATGCCCAACAAGTGCACTTTTCCCATCATTCTCAACCAGTTGGTCCAATATGTTTTAGGATACCAAGAAAGTTCCATGTGTTTGGTGTTTGTGTAGAGGGATCAGGTTAGTTTGCCCATAACATTTTTTGACATATTTTTTAATGTGCATATTGTAAAAACATGTTTAAAAATATTATCAAGGTAGATTTCTATATTTTTTTTCTTGTCAGATGTGTTCCTTTGCCATGAATTTTATTATTATTCTTCTATGCCATAGTATTTTCAGTTGCAAAAAGAATATTCAGTTAAATATAATCTTAATTTTAAGTATTATTTACTAAGTACTATTTATATCCTATGCAAACATTTTAAATTTCCAATTTATATGTATTTTAGGACTTCATGGAAGTGTCAGTCTCAACATGCTTGGTACTTTTATATCTGCAAAGTGAAAAACAATGCAACAGGTTGCCTAAGTGTACTGTCCTGAAGTCATCAAGATATGGGCACAATATCCTACAGCTTATAGATGATCCAGAAAATCCCTAGGAAGTCATTTCTTAAGTTAAGCCCTCAAACTGTTATCCAAGTACCACCATTTTTGTGCAAGTGCAATGGAGCCAAGTGTTATAACATGTAAAGAATATATTAAATCTGTGGAGGTAAAAATGTATTTACTGAAACAATTGCCTCCCAAAGGTCTTTTACCTAAAGTACAGTAATGATGCAGCAAGACATTAGTATCTATTTGAACAAATTGGGCAGTTCTTCAAATCTGACATAGCTAAAATACTGTGTGGCAAAAACCAGTTATCCCGAAAACAGAAATAAAGTTGGATATTGACAATTATGTGAAAAAGGTGGAAAGAGAAAGAGCAGTCTTTTACTCTTGAGTATAATTGGAGTTCCTATAACATAGTGGTCATGTATGGACTGTCGTTATTTTCTTCATTTCAAATATAGCTTATGATACAAGTAGATGCTTCATAAGATAAGACTGCAAGTGTGTTGCATAACTGGTGCTCTAAGGACTAATGCTATATTAACAAGTGTGTGGATCATTGATGCATAGATATTATTTAATGGCTGCCTATATTATTTTTGGCTGTCAGTTTACCAGTTACTAATTTCCATCATTTTTACAAAATGTTTATTAGATTAAGTTTAGTGTAATACAACATTTGTCATTTTACTCTAAGTTATAGAATTCTATTGAACCTATGCATGTTATGAATTGATCAACTGTCAACTGATCTTAAGCTTTGATCTAGATTGAAAATGACTGTATGTAACATTAAGCTTCAGTACTTGTTGTCAAACTTTAAACATTTTATAGAACTTTGTAGAATGTGAAAAAAACTTTATCTATAACAATGATAGGTCAGTTGAATTTTTATGTTGATATTAGTGTAGAATCACATTGTAAATTATCACCAATCCTTAAAATTGTTAAAAGAAGCAGCAAAATCAAAGACTATTCAATGGTAGCTAGGCAACCAATATTCCCTTCAGTTGGGAAGGATTTTAAGCAGGTGCATCATAATAAAAATACTTTATATGTTTGATCACATTGTAAATAATTGAAAAATAATCATCACTAAGTTATAAAATATTTAAATATAGAACCTTAAATGTACCTGAAAATAAATGTTGTGAACATGATATTAGAAGTATCATTTTTAATTTATATTATTAAGGAATGGTGAGGCAGGCTGTTCTCTGAATACCTTATTAAGTTCAGTTACACATTAATTGTGGTATTGTTTTCATTTTTTTATGATAGTACAAATTGCTATTTTTAACTAAGTTGTAATCTCCTGTATGCCTGTAAAAATTTGGAAATTTAGAAATTTATGAAAAAAATAATAATTATTCATTGGTTGCTAAGCAACCTAATTATATGCAGAGACAGTTTTAAGTAAGGAACATTTTTTTGTAGGAATTATCTTTATGTCATTTTAATTAAATATAATGCTAGTTAATTCAAAGTCCTTACTTTGTTGTGAAACAAAGTAGTTAACACCAGATGTTACTGACCATACTTTTATGAAATTATGTATATTATCTATATAAATTCAAAACCTATAGTAAAGTTAGTTTAAGGATACTTTGATCCAAGAACTATCATTAAGATTGTATTTGCAGTTTTAATTTTTATAATTTGTTTTTTTTGTAATTATGCTGCTTTGTTCATAGTACTTTGAGATCTTTTTTAATCAAACTTAAAATTTGTAAAATTTAAAAGGAAATTATGGAAGATATTGTGGTTGCTTGGCAACACTGACTAATTTTTACTTATTGCTTAGGTATTATGTAAATCAGTTATACAGCAGATAGATATATTTATGTAATATGGAAAGTAACAGTGATTTGACCAAATGCTTACTGGTTATTGTAAAACATACAGAGCAATATACATGGAAAAAATACTGAGTTGTGCTAAAATTTGCATGACTTACTAACACTAGTAAAGTGTACAGAACATGGATTGCATGTTATATCTTCAATGAAAAATTATTGAAAAGTAATTAATAGGCATTGTTTATAATTTTATTGAAAATTTATTTATTTCTGCTGCTTTGTTAGCTGTATTTTACCAAGAAATTTGTATATTTACAAAATAGATTGCAAAAAAATTAGAATATTCCATGGTTGCTAGGTAACAGAATATAGCTTCCTTCATGTTGTATTTGTGTAATTATGTCCTTTATTTAGTGTTACTACCTTTGGTGATGTTATACTTGAGTCATCTTTCATTTACTGTTGTATAAAACTGTTGTCTGCTGTCAGAGTAAATATCTGAATAAAGTTAATAAATGAATGATAAATGGACACTGTGTTTAGTTCTTTTGAAGTTGTATTATGATATCTCTCAACAGTAATATGTCCTGTTAACACTGTAGAAATGCAATAGAACCATTTGCAAGTGTGAAAGAAGAATATATTTCGTATTGATACTTGCAAGTGTTATAAAATAAACCTAGCACATAATTTTTTACATGAAAAAGGCCAGGAAGAACCCAGGAATAGGTCCGTTGCTAGGCAACATAATGTAAAGGATGCTTTAATTATGGTGGCTGTATTCCAAAAATATTCTACAACATTTATTAACTTTAATAACATAAAACAATTTTTTCACAAAATTCATTTTAGCTTCAAAAGTTGTTTTCCTCATGCACCTTTAAACATCACAAAGATCAAAGATTTTTATGTGTATTTTTAATTACTTACTGGACACCATACTCACAAAAAATATGTATATCTTTGTAAATAAGAAAGACACGACCTTCAGATTTTCAGAAATTACTTCTGATATTTCATAGATTTAGAAAATTAAAAAAAGTGAAAATCAAAAATTTGGTCAAGAAACCCCATTTTTGCATTCCATGACACATATATGTTGTGGCGGTACCTCAACTGATGTACTTTTAGTAGCATACATGTACTACGTTTTAGTTTTTGTACTTTCAGAAATAATGCAAGAAAGAAAAAAACTTGTAGAAAGTACAAGACAGAACTATTTTTAGCAAATAGACAAAAAATTTCTCTGTTCAAAAGTTAATTAGACATTATCCCTCGCAAATTACTTTTTTCTTTTTAGAAAAGTCACGCATCTTTTTAAAAAATATTTCAATAATAATGGTTTTACTGAGTATGTAGATCTGGAGACGTACATGGAGGTAGAACATGTTAACAAAGCAGTATTTTGCCATACATACAAAATACTAATTAATTATAGTTATACCAATTCAAAAAGACCAAAGTTAGCAAAGGATAATTCTTCCAAATGGCCAATGAGTGGAATGATTTGTGGGTCCTAATGGGCTTTTTAAAAAAAAGTATCTAAAGACCCCAATTCGTTTAAACTTTAACTGAAATATATGTTGAGTTTTGGAATGATTTAATTATGACTTACGCCGTTGTATATTGTGTTTTTAATAGTAATGTGGACGTCCTAAATTTAAAAGGTTAATCTTTCTTTAAATCGGTCTTTATTCGAATGGAGCACTTAAATAAGCTGACGTTACTGCACGTTCAGAAGTATCAAAATCATATCCATTAAAGCTGTGTTTGTTCGAAGACCATGTGGAGAATATTATTGAAAATATGCAAAATGTCAAAACGACAGTAAGGATCAAATTATTAAAATTATCTTTCGGATTAAGAATAACAAACCCAAACAAATTATCTGGTTTCAAATTAAATTGTTTCTCATAAATCACGATGCAATCAATTTACACTCCCAGGAGCAGTTTCGTTTAAATGTCAGGCTGTTTTTCTAGACTTTTTTGTCTGTTCCATTGGCGATGGAGACCGCAATGAGCTAGTTTTCACAGATAATTCATTAAACAGAAACGTTTTGAAAGCATCGTCTCAGGATTTTAGATTTATTTTCCCCTCGTGACGTTTTCTAAAGTAGCTGGAATTTTTTTTATTTTGGATCATGGATGATTACACACAGAGGGAATATTTTTCTTCTTTTAAGCTTATCGAATTGTGTTGAAACGAGTCGCTATGCCTGTTTGATTTTATAATTATAATTATGAATTGAAATAAATTCACTTAAAGCAGCATGCCTCCAGATTCATGTAAATTTTCATAAATTTTTTTGGAAAATTTAATGTATTTACAAGTAAAATAATGTGTGGTGAAAAAATAAAGTAATTTAAATATTGCAATCGGCCCTTGAATTCCACGAAAATTACCAAAAAAGGTCAACATATGCAAAAACAGCCTTTATTGTGTTAGTCACACAGTAGAAAGAAGGTGATAAAATACTGCAAAATCAGTGTTAAACCGCACATAACACATAATTATAATTTGGATATTGAATTAGTTTACCTTTCATAAAAGTTTAGTGCATTTTTCTCAATATTTATTTTCTTGCAATATTTTGGCTCATCTGGAGGCATGCAGCTTTAACGTTGTCTAAATTTAATAGTGAAATAACGATAGATTATGTTCAGACTTACTAGCAAATAAGAAAAATATCTCAGTATTGAATATTTAAAAAAAATCGAAACGAACTTTAAAGATCATGCAACTCAAATTTTTGTTTGTTTTACATCATAAACTTGATGCTCAAATGAAGATTTATCAATATTGTCAGTTCCAAAATGCATTATTTGTTAAGATATTACCGAATTAACATTTCATGTAAATAAAGGGAGATAATTAAATATTGTTTCTATAAAGTCTAAGCGATTTTTTTCAGTTAGAAATGAATGCATATATTTTAATGAGTATATATAATGCGTATAAACATTTGCAGTACATATTTAACATATTCTTGGATGTTTGCAAATTGTTTTAGAAGAATAATTATATACATAATTATATTAAATTTCACTTAAATGTGGTTACATCCTGAATTTCAACATAAAGAAAAAAGTACCACATTTCTCTTTGATTTTATTTTCATCAAAATGACAATTATATAACATTTATACATTACCTATCAATATTTATGAATGCATTTTGACGCAAATTAGACAAAATTTGAACTTGCAGTGAACAAAATTTATGTTGAATATGTACATACTAAACTTATCGAAAGTTCACAAGCATTAAGTGATAATCACCCTCATATATAACACAACCAGTTAAAACATATGACAAAGGTATGTTTAAGCTCTCCTGTTGATTTCTCATTGAAATGGCTGAGAGCCTTCAATCATGTAATGCAACTCTAGAGACACTGTTTTGTCTGAATTCAGTCGACAATTATTAATTTTTCTATGAAATTAAATCCAATTAATGATGTTATTTAAAAAAAGAGGATAAACAAAATATTTGTACGCAAAAAAAAACAACAACAAGAAAATTGCCATCATTATGCATCTATTTAAGATACATGCATAGCAACAAGTAATATTTAACAAATAAAGAAACAAAAACCTATAACTTAAAGATCGAGCAAAGATGTTATCAAACATTGTCAAATGAAACACAATACTGTCTCTGGTAAATTTTTATAACATAATGCATAATTACATGTCAGATAACTGATTTCACAAAATTTGCATAAAATTGTTACAATCATTTAAAATATGAAAACGTATTGTGTACTTTTCAGTAAAATACAAAATTCCAACACTATTCCACAAAAAGATGTATAAAACTGTAAGAAAAAAATGTCGTGTGGCTTTTTTGTTATCTCACATAATATTATGGAAACGTACAATATAATGTTTTCTTTATGTTCAAGGATACTTTTCTTGAGAGATAAACATCTTAAGGTCTTTGGAATAATGTTGACGTAAAGCATCATAATTATCTATAGAAATACATACTTAGTGCTATTTAAGGTCTTTATTATTGATGGCCTAAATATTCGGAATGGCGTTTTATTTACATTATGTTAAATATAGAGTCATCGAGGTAGAATTGTAGTTATTATAGTAATATGGTAAATACTTTGAATTCATTTTCACTTATTTTATAGAAAACTTTGGTTCTATAAAACCTGATTAAATACTTGCGTTGATTTAACATTTTTAACTGCTTTTGTTAAACGAAATTTTGTTTTTTTAGTACACTGATGTACTCAATATGGTGAGAAAAAGTAAACACAGTCTTGTAATGCAAGATTAACTTACGTATATATTTGGAATAGAACGGGAGAAAATACCATAATTAAATCATCGACGAAAACTACACCATACTACTTTCTTGTTTATCTGCTCCACCCCCAAGAGGAGTTTAATATCTATAATGTCCATTTGGAATGAAAAGAGATTTGTGATTGCAACTACATTAAAGAATGATTAATTCCGGTAGAAAAAAAAAGATATGGTCTGACAGAAATGCTAAGATACTCCCATGAGATTTAATTATTTTCAAATAACGATACTTAACGTAATTTAGGGATGAAGGTATTATTACAGGGTCAATTAAACTATTATTACTTTTCCATTTGAGACTGACAAATCAGATTTTTTTGCCATTGTATTAGATGTAGATGAATAACATATTATGACACGTATTTTAGATGTTGAATGACACATTTGAAAATAAAATGTTTTAAATATCTTGCCCGGTTCATTAATATTACGCGACAAGGTAATAAGGTTGATTTTTTCACATTGAATAAAATGTACTTTCATAATTTGTGCTGTTAAGTTTTTTTTCGGGCATTGGGAATGATTTTTTCTACAATCGATGTCTTTTTGTGATGTTATATAACATAATTCATTTCGACGGCAAAACTGTTCAGTTTTCAGACTTAAGCATGGTATTTTATTGAATTGAAATGAATGAAAAGCGGGTAATGACTTTGATACAAATAGAACGGGAATAAGTGAAAATTACATTTTAATTATAGATAGTAAGTTTTACAGTTTAGCAATTTCGTGTTCATTGAACAACATTTACTAATAAACGGTTACTTTTTTCCTTTGCTAGAAGAAGTAAGAACTCCAAAAGTATACATGTGGTCACGTTTTAATGTAATATAAGTTCGATGAAATACTAATTAAATCTGAAAAATTTCGAAGCCGAAAAAAGATTCATCAGAAGGACTATAATTACTTTATGTCAATAATAATAAGACATATAATCATGTAATTATTAAAGTGGACATTCAATTATCGAAAATAATAGTTCATAAAATGTTTTTACAATTTCTTTCGCCGATTATGTCAAATTCATTTTATGGGTTTCAAGCAATTTAAATAATATTTGACATTTAATCGATAACATATGGTTATATAAATGCTAATAATATCTATTCATTAAATCCTCGTTCATATAACAATGACGACGGCAACAATAACAAAATCGGCTTCGAAAAATCTAGGTGTTCACACGATACTTCGTACGTTTTTATCAAGAATAATCATTGTTTGTATTTTAAGAAATACTTCCCCCTGGTATTCTCTTTTATTAATCTTAAATTAAATGTTTTATTGCAATTTATGGTATGTTAAAGCTGACCTGTTATATATATATAACTTAATACTTATAAAAAATGTCCATGATAATGTGAAATGCAATATTAACAAGACAAATAAATCTGAGAATTATATATATCATTATTCGCATGAAATAATAAATTTTAAATTTCAAAACTTTTTGCAAAATATCAACATTCAGCACAATTTTAGAAAAGACTGCTGAATACATTTAGTATCATCTTCCATCATTTGTTTTTCTTTCAATAATTGTAAAAATAATTAAATTGAATAATGTTTTTATTTAGTATATTTTTGCTCAACTAAGTGCTTATTAATGTACTTTCCCCTTATAAGTTTGTATAATATGCGATTTGATATGACTATGAATGTTATAACATGTAGTACTTAATAAATATAATGTTATGTTATGTTATGTTATGTTATGTGAAACATGTAACTCAATTTAGACTCTCGAAGTATTCTGTATTTACCTTATAAG